TATTCCTATCCTTGTACCTATCTTTATTCCTTTTCAATCCCACGATATATATAATTTATATATCTGCATTATATATTTGCATGTTAATTATATACGTTTTATGTTAAAAGACATTTGCAAACATGAATATTATTTCGTATTGTAATAGTATATATATTGAACTGTCGCTTAAACTCAAATTGTATGAAAGTTTCATAACACGAGGGAAATGAAAAACAAAGAAAAATGAGCAGTTTAGATGATTAACAAATTGAATAATATTTTATAACTTGTAGGTGATTTATGTTTATAGATGATTCTTCAATTGTCATTATGTATGCTGTAATATATAGACTATACAATTAAAAAGAAAAATATGTAGATACAATTGATGTGGCTTTGTTTACTTTAGCTTCATAAATTTATTTTTTAGAACTATGAATATGGTTACTTATATTATTTTATTATTGCGACATATAGTTTTACAGAAATTATAATTAAGCGTAATGATTTTTAGATATGCTTTGCAATTTCCTTTTTCTTTTGAATAAAAGTTTGTCTGCATTTAAACTTCATCATCAACTTCGTCGCTGACATCAAATATATCATCTCTGTTGATATTTTTGTTGGTATTTGTGTTAAAATTCACATTCGTATTTTTATTATTTGTCCTGATATCGTCAAAAACACGTCTGCTCTTGCCTTTATATCGATTAGCATTGATATTCGTGTTTAAGTTAGTGTTCACATTAGTATTCTCGTTGCGATTTTTGCTTTTTCTTCGATGCCTTGTCGGCGCTGCGATTTCCTCAAGTTCATTTTGAAGATCCAATCTTCGAAGAATTACGGAATTCATTGCATAAGGTTTTCGGGGACTTGTCTGCAATGTATAATTAAAAAAGTGTGTTAACTTTTAGAATAATTATATTATTAATAACAAATTTGCATAAAAATTAATAAAAAAAATCACTATCTAATGCTCTAATTAGCCAAAAGTTATTTTAAAACGTATATGTATGCACACAAAAATGATTATTAATAATTAAACATTATAGAAGAAGAAGAGAAACCATATTTTTTATTTATTCAAGGTTTGATCTAACATTTGTATGTTATTATTTGTATATTTGTATATTATTTTTTATATGTTGCATCAATACCTCATTGCTTTCGTTACTAGATGTCTGGAGATGATCCGAAAACAGGATATTGAATAGCTTTTCGGCAGGTACAAGGCAATTCAATGTATTTTGTTCAGCTTGCTTGATAAGCATATTCTCGAGACGTTGCAAAGACGCTAAAATGGTGTCCAAGTACTGGGATCTTCTGGCGTCGGCATATTGTGACAGTAGAGCCAAGATCTCACGAAAATAAAATGGCAAAATTAAATCAGATTTGCACGCAACGTTTTATTATATTTTTAAATAAATAACTCTTTGCATTCAATACATTTACAAAACAATTTTTAAGGAACTATAAATAAAAAACAAATCCAAATGATGATGATATTTAACATTATATTCGACAACTAGTTTAATGAAAAAAATAATTCACTTACCAGACAGATCAACACCTGCCGCGAAATTGTCGAGGAAGACATGATTGTCAATGTTGGAGGTTTTCTCTTACTAAATCGATAGTCTGGCACTGCGTGTTCATATAGAAACGGAGGTTCCTTATCCATATTCCTTATCCAGTTTCTAATCCATAAATGAAGGTCACTTCAAAATTAACTGTCGCAAAATTAACGTTTGCAAATTTGCAATGATCGTAATAAAAAATTAATTTTATAAGGCACATGATGATTACATGGGGTGATTACATGTTATCGTTCGCGTGAGTGAATGTGCTAAATTCAATTTATTCTTTACGATATCAACAATTGACGGCTGTGAAACTATAAAATATCTTGGAGCTTTTGAAATCGAAGTACATAAAATACGCGCTAGTAATATTACACGTATATTCAAATCAGCTATAAATAATAGCAAGGATCAAAATCTTCTCTTTCTGCCAATATTCATTGAATTTATACTTTAAGCAAAAAATAATTACAGAAGAATAAAAGCTCGGTATATCGGTACTATTTGCTGAAAATAAGTAAATCAAATTTTATTTTTTTTTTTTATTAACTTCTTAACTTTGTATTAACTTCTTTCTTTACATTAACGTATAACTGGATAAGACTAATGCTTTATTCTCTTCTCTTTGAAATAAAAATTTCTAAATTTCTAAATTTATAAGACAAAAAAATCTATTACGAAAGATATATTTTAGTTTTAAAACAAATTGCGCATTGCATCAATCAAAATCACTAAATGCAATTAGATAAAAATAAAGAATAGAAGAAAATAAAAAGTTTGTCATCGGTCAGTATATTCATTTTTTAAATAAAATATTTCTGATGACGGAATTAGCTAAAACAAGGATTGCAAATAAAACGTATGAACAAAATATACATATATAGTAAACAAAAAATTCATTTATTTGTAAAAACAAGAGGAGATCAGATACATTAAACTTATCATTTGTTGCAAATTTATTGATATTAATAATAAATTTGAAATAAGTTTGGTATTAATAATTTTTCGGACATTTAACCAAATTGTTTTTTATATTTAAAACAAAAAACATGACGTCGAGCTAATGAAGAGCATCGACGATATCTTTTTTACGAATTTTGATTCTAATAGTCACATAATCATCATTCGTCGCGATAGGACGATGTAGTGATCTTCTGTTGGGCGTGTCCGTCTCATCGCTCTCCGACTTGATCTCTTTCGACAAAAACATCTTTAGGGAGACCATCATGTCGGCCACAATGTCTCTTGTCATAATTTCTTCGTCCAATATGTTTATGGTTGGTGCGTCTCTGGTGAGTGCCCTTCGTGTAATCTTATCGAGCTGGCTCGCCA